AGCAAGACCTTTTCGAGTATGTCATTCAAAAAAGCTCTCTCCCCGGGAACTCTCTCTCTCTCTCTCTCTCTCTCTCTCTCTCTCTCTCTCTCTCTCTCTACCTCTCTCTACCTCCCCGAAGCCCGTTTTTTTTGGAGAAGAGAGACCCCCCCGGTGCTGCAGGGGAGGAAGGGGCGAGCCGGGCACCATGGGGGTCCGTACCACCCCCTCGATGCCCGCAGCGCCAAGCGGGAACCCCCTTTGGCGCTGCGGGGGAGGAAGGTGGTCCGTCCAACCCCCTTGATGCCGCACTACTAAGGGGGTCCTACGCTCCCGGAACGCCGGACCCCTTTGGTGCTGCGTGGGATGAAGGGGGTCCGTCCCACCCCCTCGATGCCCGCAGCACCAAGGGGGTCCGGCGTTCCTGGACCCCTTTGGTGCTGCGGGGGATGAAGTCGGTCCGTCCCACCCTCTCGTTCCCAGAACGTTGGACCCCCCTTGGTCCTGCGGGGGAGGGAGGGGGTTCGTCCCACCCCCTCGATGCCCACAGCACCAAGGGGGTCCGGCGTTCCCGGCGTTCCCTCTGGGTGCTGCGGGGGAGGAGGGGGTCCGTCCCACCCCCTCGATGCCCGCACCGCCAAGGGGGTCCGGCGTTCCGGGAACGTCAGACCCCCTGGGTGCTGCGGGGGAGGAGGGGGTCCGTCCCACCCCCTCGATGCGCGCACCGCCAAGGGGGTCCGGCGTTCCCGGAACGCCGGACCCCTTTGGTGCTGCGGGGGATGAAGCGGGTCCGTCCCACCCTCTCGATGCCCGCAGCAGCAAGGGGGTCCGGCATTCCCGGAACGCCGGACCCCTTTGGTGCTGCGGGGGGACGAAGCGGGTCCCTCCCCCGCAGGACCAGGGGCATCGAGGGGGTGGGACTGACCCCCTCCTGCGGGATGAAGCGGGTCCGTCCCACCCCCCTGGTCCTGGAGCACCTCCCTCGATGCCCCTGGTCCTGCAGGGGAGGGAGGGGGGGGAAGAAGCGGGTATGTTCCACCCCCCTGGTCCTCGGGGGGAGGGAGGGGGTTCGTCCCGCCCCCTTGGATGCCCGCAGCACCAAGGGGGTCCGGCGTTCCCGGAACGCCGGACCCCCTAGGTGCTGCGGGGGAGGAGGGGGTCCGTCCCACCCCCTCGGTGGCCACACCACCTTGGTGCTGCGGGGGAGGAAAGTGGTCCGTCCCGCACCCTCTCTGCCCGCATCGCCAAGGGGGTTCGGCGTTCCCGGAATGTCGGGCCCCCTTCTTGCTGCGGGGGAGGAGGGGGTCCGCCCCGCCCCCTCGGTGGCCACGGCACCTTCGTGCTGTGGGGGAGGAAGGGGGTCCGTCCCGCCCCCTCGATGGCCACAACACCTTGATGTTGTGAGGGAGGAATGGGGTCCGTCCCGCCCCCTCGATGGCCACAGCACCAAGGGGTTCTGGCGTTCCCGGAACGTTGGACCCCGTTCGTGCTGCGGGGGAGGAAGGGGGTCCGTCCCGCCCCCCTCGATGGCCACAGCACAAAGGGGTTCTGGCGTTCCCGTCCCAATTCATCGCTGGCTTGGAACAACGAGAGGGGCCCGCGTTCCCGGAATGCCGGACCCCCCTTCGTGGTGCGGAGAGGGAGGGCTTCTGTCCTGCCACCTCTCTCTCTCTCTCTCTCTCTCTCTCTCTCTCTCTCTCTCTCTCTCTCTCTCTCTCTCTCTCTCTCGCTCTTTCTCTCTCTCCCCCTCTCCCCCTCTCCCTCTCATTGGCGCGTTCCAGCGTTCTGGGTCCACAGGTCCCTCTGAATCGGACCAGTGGCCCGGACTTCTTGAGATGGGTAGTGAGGGGGGACCGGCTTCCCTTCTCATGTGTCTTTCTGTTCTCGATTTTTTTGTTCTGTTGTGTCCTCTCACAGGCCGTTCCCGTCCGTGTTACCGATTCAATGGCGGGCGGGATGGACATTTGTTGCTACAGTTCGCTTCCATCTGTGCAGTCTTTTCACACCCCCGCGCCCGATGCTCCTGAGAACTCCTGCGAGAGCCGGTCGCCAGACATTGTCGTCACACCATCGAAACATGGGCATCGTGCACACCATGTTGCTGGTATGCCCGGACGCCAATTCAAAGACCGGGTTGTGCCATCTGCCAATGTCAGCGTCGTGCGGCGTCTTCGTCTTGATGACATCATCAACGACGTCGGCGTCTTGCCTTCTGATGACGGCGCAGGACTGGCGTGTGGGTCTCCTGATCCTTCAATTCGGGGTCATTCGCTACCGGAAACTCGCACTGACGATCGTTATGTTCCGGTGGACATGCTTTCGTTGCTGTCGTGCGAAGGCAGTGAAAGGGGGGGGGGTCTTGCTGCTCGTTCGTCGGACGTCGACTTGCCAGTCGGAGAAGACACTGCGATATCTGCCTTGTCTATGTTGTGCGGTGAAAAAGAAAAGAGAAAATTCATATACAGACTCAGAAAAAGAAGTTTTTCGGCATTCACCTCCACTTTCGAACGTAGATGTAGCGTCGACGAGTGCGAGGCCGTCCTCCGCAAAACATGTTGCAAGACGTTTCGCTGTCTTTCTAAACTTAGAGTGCAGGACGTTATGAAATGTAAACGTGACTACCGTGTTCTCAAAGGGCAGGAAAGACGGAAGTGGTGGATGGCGAAACTACAGAATTTTATTTCGTTAGTTGACCGTAAGCCCACAGTCAAACCGATAGTGCAGTTGCACCCTGTCTGCGTCACAGCATGGTGTCTCATACTCGGCGTCGGTAGGAACACATACAAAAGATACATCGATGACCTCGATGACGGAACCGTCGACGCTGTTTATGGCCATGAAGGTAGTCTGCTGACAACGGCGACCTACGCCATTACATGGTCAGCGTTCGAGGACATCATCTTGGACGAGTCTGATCCCATGCCAGATCAGACTGAGACAGGCCCGAACTTCGAGATCAGAAACCGCATTCGGCTCCCGTCGGTGTTCGCCACAAAGAAAGACGTCTTCCTCAGTGTTCGTAGACGACTCTCTAAGCTTGGAGTCTGTTGCGCGTCGATCCACGTCTTCTGCAAGATGTGGAGGGACTTCTTCTGGCACGTTCGTCTCGCAAGGGTGACCGACCACGCGAGATGCGACGAGTGCATTAAGAATAGCATCCTCATAGAGGGTGCTTTGCCCGAGCCGAGAAGGGCGCTCGTCGCAAAACAGAAAAGTCATCTTGCGCTACAGTCGACACACCGGAAACAGTATATTGTGTGGTTCGCTGATTCAGAGCTCAGGCCGAAAGAGAGTCTGTGTATCATCATTGATGGAATGGATCAAGCGAAAACAACGATACCCCACGCATCGAGAAGACGTTTGTCCAAAGAAATGTCGAATAACACGATGATGAAGACAAATCTTACTGGGATAATCCCGCACGGTAGGACACCATCGCTCATTGTCCACACGTGGTTCCCGTACCTTTCGCACGGCTCAAACTCGGTTGTCACCTCGATCGCCAAAGTGTTGAGAGATGTTCAGGCACGCGAGGGGGCGCTCCTGCCGAAGTTGGGGGTGCAGGCCGACAACTGTGGGGGACAAAACAAAAATAAGTATGTGTTCGCCTTCATGGCCATGCTAGTCAAATTTCGTATATTCGAGGTCGTCGAAATGGGGTTCATGATAGTGGGTCACACACACACGGACATAGATGCGAAGTTCAACTTGTTTGCAAAAAAGTTGAGCGGTTGCGATGCGTATACCATGGATRAGCTCTTCGATGTCCTCAAAGMGTCCTGCGAAGAGGAAGTCGATTGCACATTGCTCACTGAAATTGCTGACWGGAAAACCGYCATARATCCATACATCGACCATAAAATCAAGGGTCATGCCACGCCACACCTCTTTCGATTTTACATGGATGGGGACAACCCCGCCATGATGTACAAGGAGTTCTGCAATGACAAAGGGTGGTAGCCGGATACTGGCCCTGTGTATTGGTTTGTAAGGGACGCAAACAACGGGTGGGTAGGGCCTCAATAGGATTTCCAACCTTGTCGTGAGTCGCCTAATCCACTGGCAGGCGATTTCGTTAACGGGATGACGATTGTACGTGTTTTTCATAAATTGTGGGAGAATACACAAAACCAATGGGTGACACAAGACGAACACACAAGAGCGATGAAACGTAGACGCTTGAGCTATTGGACCGACCATATGAAGAAGTTTGAACACATATCGCAAGAGGAGAGCGGCACGGTGCCCGTTCAAGGTGCCTTCTGGTCAGACCCCATGCCCGATAAACAAGATCTCCCGTTACGTGCGCCGCATGTTCTCGACTCGCCACCGAGGAAACCTTGCTTCGTCGGTTACAAAAAAGACGCTCCCAAGCCGGAGTTCAAACCGCACAAGTCTGTCGCCGTGAACAACTTCGTCGTGTTCCGCACGCCCGACGAGAATGTTGCAAAGGGCTGCACATTCTGGATTGGACGAGTTCAGAAGGGGGACGATAATCGCATCTGTGTCAAGTACTGGACTCCTTGCGGAAGGGAGCACGATTTGACAAAGCTGTATGCGGGCGCATGGGAAAAATCATGGAAGGTCGAAACTGAAACAAACGACGGGTGGCAAGACCTCGACGCCGTTGTGTGGGCATGGTCCAGCAATAAACGTTCTGAAATGGGTATGCGGATCCCGAAACGAGAAGCTCTGAATGCACAGTTGTCGTTGGCTGTCCCTGACAAGACGGCTTCATCAACGCCTGATATGGGATCTGCTTCAGACACATCTGTGTAGTCGTGACGTGTGACATGCGTAATGGAGATCATCTTTTGAACACGAACATATTAGTTCACATCGCTAATTGCTCCATTGGATTGCGTTTTTCTCCTTCATTCATTGTGTTTAGAATGTTTGCATCGTCATACCGGAAGTGCAACGAGAAATGGGGGACACCTGTGCGCTGGCAGAAACTCATCTCATGGAAAACAAGAACGCAAATGAGAGCTGTCGATATAGACTGCATCGATTGGTGCGCATCTTGGCCCTCGATTGAGCTGTGGTACGACGAGATGGGAGATGGAGTTTACAAGCTCGCCAAAACGATAGTGCCGGATGTGAACTTCGGAAGCCACGACTCCGACAAATGGACCGAAGTGTTCTACGGATTGGGGTTTGTTCACATGTGGGGCAGGGGGGTTGAGCATCATGGATCAGTAACGTGCGTGGCGTTCGGTTCAGACGGTGGTCTGACACGGTGCACAACACGGATTGAACGAACGAAGGTGCCGTCGACGTTCGAAAACAGCAGTTACAGGAGGGCGACGCTGAAGCTTGTCAGACGTCTATTCAACGAAATCAGAGATGCAATGTTGCATGTCATCAACGAAAGGTCGAGGATCGCCATTTACGTGGCGACGACCGTGATAACATGCCGCAACGAAGAGGGTAAAACGAAAAAACTTAAAAAAACTAACACCGTCACAAAGTTCAATATCGTCGATCATATTCATCGGCGCGAAAGTGGCAAACGGAACAACCTGCAATCCGTCTTGCGTGCTTATCCGCATTGACCGACGTTCATCTGTGTTTTTGATGTATGTGTTTCTTTTTTTTTTTCTCTCTTTATCTTTTTCTTATTGGTCCGTGCAGTATGGACCCGGAATGGATGCAAAGGCAATTAAGACAAGAGTGGTGGGGAACGCCAATCAAATGGGGGGAAGTGATATCAGACCGGCTGAGGAGACAGCGTAACGCCGTCGGACTTGTCACCTGGGATTTTGCATATTACGAACCGTCACTGCACTTGTATCCTCGAAGCGCGACAAGAAAGATTTACAACCTCGTGGGGGTGTGCGACTGTCAGAATAATAATAATTACAAGAAGGACGACAACGCAAGATACAAGGAGGTATTCTATGGTTACGGGCTTGTGGCTGCCCCGGTGACAGAGAAATGCAGCGCCACCATTGCATGTGTTGCTGTTCAATACCACGAAGGGCTTACAATATGTGCAATGGAGACATGGAGACAGAAGATCCCGCGGAGTGATGCAGGAGACTCGATGGCGCGAGCGTACAAGCAGCACGTTAAACAATATTGTATTCACGCACGGGATGCAATGTTAGAATTCGTTGCTCGGAGGACTGCCATCACTGTTTCTATCTCAACAGTCATCGTAGAGAATGAAGAAACAACGGGGGTCAACCGCAAATTCAAAAAAATCAAGTTAACCACCAACTTCAACATTGCGAAGAGTGTACTCCGTCGAGCCAACGATCTGGGCAACGACCTTGTTCACTTGCGCCGATGTAGCACTTCCTGACTTTTTGTTGTAAAAAAGTTGTAGCTTAGCGCTGTTGACGGAGATGGCAATAGAGTAGATCATGCGCTCGTACGAGTGCTCATATCGTTTTTTTTCGTAATGTGCCGGATTTTAGTTTTTTTTTTAATAAAATTATGTCGAAGTGGATTTCCAACTTTTGTACGATCATGTACGACTACATATCAGCAATAGTGTGGAGGAGTGTATGAACTCTGCGGCACCAACTTTCATAGACATTGGCTTAGTCAACGATAGATAGATAGATAGATAGATAGAGAGAGAGAGAGAGAGAGAGAGAGAGAGAGAGAGAGAGAGAGAGAGAGAGAGAGAGAGA